TGGATGTGTCCTTCCTCCAGCCTCTGCTCTGTTTCCTCTCAGTGGGGCCTGGGCTCTGGCCCCCTCTTCCCCACTCCTTAAGGCTCAGAGCCTTATGGTTGCACTCAGAACCCAGGCTCCCAGCAGCCTCTGTGCTGATTCCTCTGCCATTCTTCATGGGGGCTCTCTTGGACATCTATGTTGAGAAACAAATGTTCTCCCCCTTTAGTAAATCATGTGAAACATCACACACAGGGACAGTTGGTTAGAACACAAGCTACTACTTTCCTACAAGGTGAGGACATTGAAGGCACAAAATGTATGCAGGGCTGCACATGGGCAGTGCCCAGCTTGCCAGCTCAGCACATCCTGGCTTCCCTCTGTGTGCCCCTCTGCCTCCGGCTCCAGGCCAGCTGGGCATGTGTCTCCTCCCCAGCCCATGAGGAAACAAGGTCGTCTTTCTGGCTAGCTACCTGGGCACAAGGCAGGCTTGGCAGACACTGCTCCTCTAGGCACCTCCCCAACACCTCAGCTTGATTGGCCTCTCCTCTCTGATTCTCAAAACCAAAAATCTCACCAACATGGCTGCTGGGTCAGAAGAAGGAAAGGGGGACAGTGGTGGATAAAACAACATTGGGCTGTACACTAATCATGTTACTGGACTCTTATAGTTCCTGACCTTGGGGTGTTCTTCTCTATGTCTTCAGGCTCCTGGACCTACTCTTTGGAATCACTACAGATTTCCCAGTGTCAGTCATTTGCACATTAGTGTGAATTTAAGTCAATGAAATAATTCTCTTTCATAGGAGGATTGCATTTAAATCTTTCTGGCTGGAAATCATGCAATTTGTCCCCATTAAGGGGATTTTGAGTCATAATAAGGCAGAGAGGCATTTTGGTGAGTACAATGCTTCCACAGACTGAAAATCCCACAACTTCATCCACCTGTACTATTTCCAAACCATCCAGCTGAGGTCAACTTCTTCCCTCTATACTCTCTCACTCTTTCCAGATTTAATTGACCCTGGGGTTTGAGAGGTTCTGTTGACTCACCGTTATGATTCATCTGAGAATCATAAGATTTCAGGTCTGGTGGGAGCTTAGAGATCAAATAATGCCAGTTTCTAGATGAAGAAACAGTAACTCAGAGAGAAGTGATACACTCAAGGTCCCATAGCAAGTTACGGCAAAGTTGGGACCAGATGCCAGATTTCCTGGCTCTTCGGAATGTCCTTTGCACTATGCCACACCAAGAGCCATCAGTAACTCTCAACCAAACACCAGCACTATTTTCAAAGTGAAATCCAGGCAGAGGCTCTCTGTTTGGGATCTGGCCCTTCCAGGGTTAATGACACAGGCAGCCTTTGTGTGGCTTGGGAGGAATGTTCCTAGAAGCATTTGGTCTGGAAAAGGAAGCCCATGGAACTCCCCTTATGGTTACAGTGTCCGTGTGGTGTAGGGGCTAGAGAGACAGGTGCAAAGCTCACTGTTGTCATCATCCACACAAAGACCATTCCTGATCTTTGCAGGAAGGGGTTTTAATTTTGTTTTCCAAGCAGCCCAGAGCTCCTCATCATTTGAAAGCAGAGTCACCCTTGGCCATACTCCCCAAGCCAGATGTTTGGTTACTTCCTCCTCACCAGAAAACACAAGGCCCCCTCATGTATCTGAGATCAGCCTTGACCTGAATTTGATCTGAATTTATCCCAGAAGTACAGTCCAAAGGCAGAGGACCAGAATCAATATCTGGCTTAGTGGATTAACAGGCACTGGAAACAGACAGCCTGGGTTCAAATCTCACCTCTGCCACCTCCCAGCTCTGTGTCTTTGGGCTACTTACTTAACTTCTCCATACTGCAGAAGCCTCATTTGTGAGGTAGGGCTGAGCTGGCACCTGCCTCCTGGCCTGTTACATCAGTTAAATGGCATCAGTACAGAACAGTGCTTGCACACAGAGGTGCTCACTAAACTTTCCCATAATGCCTTTGGTGCCTCCCTTCAGGACTTCCCAGATGTCTCTTCCCCTCTCCTCCTGCAACTAAGTACTACAAACTTCGGTTTAAATAGCTTGGGGGCGGGTAGGGAGGGAATGCTATAAGGCATTTGTGAGGAAATTTCTGAAATGCATCAGAAAAATGGAAATATATTGGCCATACCCACTTTATTCTGACATTGGACTAAGTCAAAGAAAATTAATAAAATAAACTTATTATTTATTGGTGTGATGTGAGAGAAGCAGATGTGATTGTGGGGTTTTTTCCCTCTACTTGAAATTAGCATTATTCTCCATCAGGTCATTATTCCATAATCTTTTTTTGACATGTTCCTTGTTTCTTACATACAGGTTAGTGTTGAGAAATAAAATAATGAGGAAAGGAAGGTGAAATACATAAATACTTTAACTTCGGAACAAACTTGAATTCTGCACACACTGCTCTCTTTATTTTCTTCCCTCTATATTACAGAGCACTAAATCTGTGTAGTTCTGAGCTGGTCACCAGAATGGCCCAGAAATACCACCTCCTCCCCTTCTGCATCATCTACTGATTCTCAGTAATGGCTGGCAAACCACTGTGTGGAAGCTGCTGTCCAGGCTGTTTTAAGAGCTCCACTAGTCACAGTTTGGTGTTTATGGGCTTACGGTAGACTGAATAGCCAGCTGTCTACAACAAGAAAGTCCCATGGCCAAAAAATGTATCCCCTACTGGCCTGTGATAAATGCCTGAAATTCCACCATTAGCAATGCATTCCTTTGGTTATGCCATGCCATTCTCAGGCCACCATTTTCAGTGAAAATGCCTGTCAGGGGAGTAATACATGAAAATCCTGGCACTTATGATGAATGAGTGTTTCAGATCATCCCTGAAAGAGGTGAGCATTGGCCACCTTGCTGGTGCGAGTGTGCTTGGGGGCAAGGGAGAAGGAATATGGAAGAAGGGGTGGAGACATGGAGGGCTGAGGACAAACTTGGACTGCTAGGCTGTTATGGCACTTTTAAAACATGGCCTTAAATCTTTGACACTCATTCCTATGAGAGGTAGGGTTTATGGCCTTTCCCCTTGAATCTGGGTGGGCTTGTGACTGATTCAACCAATAGAAGATAGCTGAAGCACCCAGTGTAACTTCTGAGGCTTTATAGTCATAAAAGGTCATGCAGTTTCTTCTTGGTTTTCTGGCACCTTTTGGAGCCCTGCATCATCATGTAGAAGTCCAAGTATGCTGGAAAGACCGTACTGGTAAACAGTGGTTGCTGAGCATAGCCTGTCAGCCATTCCTGCCCAGGTTTTAGATACTGAGTGAAGCCTCCAGAACAATCCATCTCCCAGCTGAATACCACTGAGAGACTGGCCTCAATAATTTGAGGAGCAGAAGAGTTGTGCAATGAAATCCTGTCTGAATTCCTGATCTATGAGATTGTAATATAGAATAAAAACAGTTGTTTTAAGCCGCTCACAATTGGGGTAGTTTATCATGCAGAAATAGATAACTTGAATGGCCATTGCCCAAAACTGGCCTGAAAGAGTCAACCTCTTAGACCACTGATATAGATGCTTCTGGAAATTGGGCAGCTCGACTCCCAAATAGAACAGGCTGATCCATCAGAAACCAACTGACTCAAGTCCCTGGAAATAATGCCCAGTCCACACTTGGGGCCTGCACCCCTCTCCCAGTGCAGGTCATTGATGTGCTAGCCCACCAAACCGTCCACACACCCAAGGTTGGGAGGGGAAGACTGAAGAGTCCTGCACCCCTTCCTTTATAGACAAGGACACTGAGCTTCCAAGATGCAAGGTGACTTACAGCTCCCCGGGGGTCTGGCTCTTCAGACCCTTAAACAGAGAGTGTCTGGTTTTATGTGAAAAGCATGGGCATGGGCTCAGAAGCCAGAAAGGCCTGGGTTCAAGACATGGCTTCTTCACCTCTCGGCTATGCTTGGCTTTGGTCAAACGACTCAGTTTCCTTATCTGTGGGACAACAGATCTCCACAGTGTTAGGTAAGAGTTAGAAGATGGCATATGGGACAGCCCTGGCACAAACAAGAGTCACCTTTGCCTCATCACTTTCTGCCACCCCACAGCCCATTCCACCTTACCACACAGGCAGCGCCTCTCAGGCCGCCTCTCGCCCTCCCTCACTTCTAGGCTGTCGTTGTTGGGGGGAGGTGGAAGGAAAACTCCTCCATGCGGTCCCAATCCTCTCCTTGCTCATGCCTAGTCAGATGGTTTCCCTTAAAGCACCCTTCTATCAAGAGAGAGCCACAGGGTACAGGCCTCTTATCTGTACCAGCAGGCTGTATTTAGGGCCCTGGGTTTTCCATTTTTGAAACAGAGCTGTTGGATGGGGCTAGGAAAGGAAATAAACAACCACAGCCAATCCCGATGGCAGCTCCTTAAAATCTGTTCTCCAGATGCCCAAGGACCACGCATCCGGGGCGGGCCCCTCCTGCATAAGGAATCTAAGGATTCCAGATTCCTGAGTCCATGAGATGGTGGAGGGAGCCAGGAGGGGCCTGAACCACAGAGACAGCTGTTTCTCCAGGGTGCCCATGCCTCCCCAGGCCCAGCCCAGAGGGGGTCAGCAGCACAGGCAACCAGAGTCACTTGCTGGGCTGGGCTGGGCTGGGCAGGGTAGAGCTGTGTGGACCCGCCCAGGGGCCTCCTGTCACCAGGAAATCTTTTCACTCACAGATGGACAAGTTCTGTTAGCATGGTGTTGCTGTTCTAGAAAAGCAGACTTCTTAGGGGAGAGACGGTGGGGTTGGGAGGTTTTTTGTTTTTTGTTTTTTAAAGGAGACTTTGATGGACAAGAACCCAACACCTTTTCTCTTCTGTGTAAATGGTAGCCACCAGAAGAGTTGATCCTCCCCCTGAGGTGTTTTCCAGAGTCGCCTTCCCTTGGTTTCCCCAAACCCTCCCTTCCATTCTGTCCTAGCTTAGGCTCCCTCAGAGGTAGACCCTGAGACCAAAATGTGAGCATGACTGGTTTATTTAGAGGAAACACAGTGGAGTGGGGGAGGGGGGAAACGAGATGGGAAGGAAGCACTATCAAGAAAGTTACCCTGCCACAGGCCACGGGGTTCAACATGCCTGCCTCAGATTCTCCCACCTCAGGGGTGAGGGAGTTGAGCAATTATCTTCTAACTCTTGTCGTCTCCGGCTGGGAGCCTGGCCTGCTTGCAGGCTATCGGCAAGCCCCCTGGCAGAGGTCACCTGAGCTCACAGTCACACACAGAAAGTGGGAGTGCCAGCGGCATCTGGGCAGGGCGACACCTGCGCTCGTGGTGGGCTCTCTCCCTTCAGAGCTGTCTCACGCACAGCCTTCTCTCTTGGCTCTTTATGCACACGTGATCAGCTGAGGATTCACTGACCACAACCTCTACATCTATTTCTCAGGGACCTCAAAGTGAGGGAAAGTCACCACAGTCCCCAGGGTTGTCCCTCTGAGTTCCTGAGAAGAAAAGAATGGGATCTGCCTCCCCTCTTCGGAGAAGGGCAGCGACAGCCTTGGAGAGGGGCAGACTGTTCCCTCCGTCCGGACCGTGGACAGGACTCCCCTGCCCTGGGCTGTCTTCCCAGAGCGGCCAGCCCCTTGGCATTCTCCCTCAGCCCCTGTGGACCCAGAGCACCAGGGTGGGCTTGGCGTTCCCTCAGCCCTCGTTTTGGCGGGCCTCACTTCTCACCTTGCTTTGTTAAGCCTCCACGCTCTGTCGCTCTGTCAAGTTGGGCCCAGCTGTCATTGCCGTGGCCAAGCCTTGACACGGAGCCGTGAGGTTTGTTTTTATTTTCTGTTTCCAAGGCTCCTTCTCTCCCAGGAACAGGAGGTGACGGGGAAGCTGTAATTTGCTAAACAGGCATTAATCTTCACATCAATCCCAAGAGGCAGGTAGAGCTTCTCAGTCAAAACACACAGGGTTGTGATTAGACAAGGCTGGCAGGATAATGCGCAGGGATTTGCACTTTGCAGGCCAAGCCCTGACTTCTCCAGGCCAGAGCTGCTAATCTCGCCCCTGAGCTGCAGCCCACAGACAAGGTTCTTTTTGCCAAAGGGCAGGAGCGCCAGGCCCCAAGGGCCATTCCACTGCTCCTGAGCCCCTCTGTCTCTCCCACCCTCCCCTCTTGGACGGGGTGGAGAGAAAGTGGTATGGCCTTGGAAGGCAGGCAGACCGGGGTTTGAATCCTGCTCTCTCACTTTTTTCCATTCAGCAAATATTAGTAAGTCCCTGTTATGTTCCTAGCACTTTTCAGTTCTGGGGATGCAGTGATAAATGTTGGGATTTCAGGAGAGTCAATTAATAATACTCCTTTCTTCTCCTTCAGACCAATGGAGAAGTAGACATAGAAGTCCAAAAGGTGGAGTTCAAAATGTCCTTTATTACAGAAAAGTTTATATTGGCAGACGTGGTTTGGGAGCTGTCACAGCGCTGTCTTGCTGACACTGGTCCCAGCACTGATCTGACCCAGTCAGCTAGATACAGAGCAGCAGCCCACAGGGGCCGAGATGATGTGCTTTATCTGGGCAGGCTGCCTCCCAAAGGGGACCCAGGACAGGCTGAGCCCTCTGCACTTGGATTTGCCCCAACTCACCAGACATGTCCCTTGCTTCATTTGCATCCCCAAAGGTAGCGCCTGAAATAAGGATGTTGAGTACAAGTGGGGTACTTAGGTGGGGACCCCAATAAACATGGGGAGGGCTTATGGCCATGGGCCAAGAGTCACAGAGCCTGGCACGTGCTAGGTGTTCAAAAAATGCTCATTCTTATTCATCCCTCTTTCTCAGGCAGGTACAGCAACCCCAGGACATGGCATTTGGGCTGCTGCACCATCCTGATGCTTGGGGAGTGGGTGTAAGGATGGGTGATATTAATGGCAGTGGAGATGCTGGCACTTGGGGTCTCCCAACCCCGACTGACAGCAACACAGCAAAGATGAGAGTAGGAAGAACAAAGGAGAAGTGACCAGAAAGAAGCAGCCCCTGCTTGTGACTTGAGAGGGCAATAGAATGATTGTCTTTCAAGGACTCCATGTTCCAAATGTTTACCTCTAGTTCTTAGGCCTAGAAAGTTCTGACTGTACCCCAAAGTAGTCTTCCCTCTGCCATCAGAGACTTCATAACATAGATGGGCACATATGTGCCCACACACGTATACACAAATACAGATACATGCTAACATACATACACACAAATACATATCTGCACACAACACAGGGATTACCCACATTCACACATACACAACACATTCTCATACATAAACAAACACACAGGCACTCACCCATACACATGTTCATTCATCCACACATACTCACTTTTTCTGCAGGTTTCTGTGATCCAGTCAAGCAGGGAAGGTCTTAAAGGGCAGCCCTGGCGATGTGACTTTTTCAATAGGAATTGGCCTCTGTAGGTGCAAAGGTCTGTGCCTTCCTTTCTCCTTCTCCTCCCACCACACCCCCCACCCCCTACCCAAGAGCTAGTCAGGAGATAGGCCCAGCTCTGGTTTCTGCCATTTCTCCCACAAACACACAGCTTGAGAGGCTTTCAAAGTGAGGACCTCTCCCCTTGGACATGACTCGGTGGCCCAGTGGCTGTGGAGGGCCCTCTGCCCCAGGGTCTGCAGCTCTCCCCACATGAAGGAAAGGTGAGAACAAGGTCAGAGCCAGGCTCCTGCTGAGCAAGGCTGATGCTCTGGTTTCCAGGCCAGTGCTTGCCAACCAGGTCTGCTTTTCCTCAGAGGACACTCTGGGTAAACGTGTCTGCCCACTGGGCATGGCCAGGGCCACTCCCCGTCCCCACTACTGGACAGTTCTGTGGCCAGGCACACACTGTTCCTTATCCAATAGGCAGGTCAGCCTTGTCCATTAAAGTCCTTCAGCCCTTAGTGTCAACTTGGCTTCAGCCAAGAAATGAGCATTCTGGAGGCTGGCAGTTCTGTGGATAGTCAAAGGTCAAAGGGAAAGAGATAGATCATGGTCACTGAGAAAAAGGGAGGCAAAGACGCTGTTGCTTTGAGGATCCTGGACTCTGGTATCTTACCGTAAGTGAGGGTGGAAGGGGCCATTTTTTCTAGATTGGACTGTTCCAGGCTTCTTCCTATTGGATAGCTGCAATTGGGGGGGACCCTGTTTCTCAGGCTGGTAGCAGGTGGCGAGTAGAGATGGAGCCTAGAACATGCTGGATTGGGCCACCTCAGGGATCACATCCGTCAGCCGGGCCAGAGGGAAAGCCGTCCAGCCTGTGCACCAACCCGAAATCCATCTGCCTCCCAGGGCAGGAGGCCTTCTCTGTCTGCATTCAACTCAACTCCCAGGCAGGCCTTCCCATCCATTAAAACAAATCAGCAATCTGGGGACTGACTTCAAATTGGAAACAAGAAGATCAAAGATTTTTAAGTTCCATTTATTAATTCTATTATCAGAAATCTCCCAAAGGGGGTGGAAAGTGAAGTTAGTTTTTCCAGCAGAGCAAAGTCGGGCACTGTTTGAGGCTGGGAATCTGCTTGATGATAAACTACTAGTAGCCCCACCAAAGGTGAGACAGTGTGTCAGTTGACTTTTGTTATGTAATAAAACACCCCAAAACTAGCACGTTAAAACCACCACCATCTATTTAGTTCTCGTATCGCCCATAGGTGGTTTGGGCTCAGCTCAGCAGGCTCCCTGAGATGCAGAATGAGTGTCTACTGAGCACCTGGAACATGCCACGCTCTGTGATTCTTGGCCTGTGAGCTTCCTCTGTCCTCCAGATCTTGTTGGTCCATACCTGGGTTAGGCAGTTGGCGAGGTGACAGCCCCCAGGAATAGTCCTCAGGCAAGGACCAGAGGGAGTTGGGGGTTGACTATGTGGCCCCTGCACCCCTTAGGGGGATAACTCTGAGGCATGAGGGCCCCACTGTCTCCCAGTAGGATTGGGCTCCAGGTGCCCCCGTGGGCACCTGCTCAGTGGCATTCCTTTCATTGACCGCCTCCCACCCCTGGCGCACTGGGGGTGGTCAGCCAGGAAGCTCTGCTGGTGGGGGCAGAGGAGAGAGCTGGCTGGCTGCTGGCTAGAGCCAAGGATTCACTTTGCTCTCATCCGCCAGCAGACTGGCCTGGCCCTGTTCACATGGCCACTAAAGAGTCCAAGAGCAGCACGTGAGCAAGCCCCACCACGTAGGCACTTTTTTAAGCCTCAGCTTACTGTGTGTTGGAACTTGCCAAAGCAGGTCAATGACTGAGTCCAAGGTCAGCGTAGGAGGGCATGACCAAAGGGCAGGGAAGCATTTGGGGCTGAGCTTGCAATCCGCCACATGCAGCCTAGCAAGGAGGGTCTACTGACATAGTCTTCCCCACTCAAGCCACACCTCGGAACAGGCTATGGGCTTCTGTAGGGTGTGGCTGTGTCAGACTTACAGCCCCTGCCCCGGGAGCCCAGCATGTGGCAGCCAGGTAGAAGAGGCTGGTCAAGCGTGTGGATGGATATTGAATGCACATCGCTTCTGGCAGCAAGGTGGGCAGCAGGAAAAAAAGCCTCATCCTGACTCTTGGAAGCCCTCTGTGGCCTGGGGCCTCATCAGGTGTCCTTGTTCCAGACCAGGGACACCCAGGGCTTGTGCCGACAGACGATTACTTTCATCTCTCTCTTGAAAAATGGCCCATGTTTAAGGATTCATAAAACTTAGGGAACGCATCACTGAGCCTATAACGCTGTGAGAGCCCCATGTAGAGAACGACTTAAAAAGAAGATTCATCAAACTAATTACTTCTCCCCCCTACCCCCGCCCCCACCCCGCCCCTCTTTCCGCTTGGCCTCCTCAAAAAGACATACAGCCTCATAGGCTGGGCTGCATTGAAGCCAAACTCCCAGGCCTGCTTGTGTGGGAGGGGCCATGAAACACTCCTGGCCTCAATCTTTCTCCAGCTTTCTGGGAAGACAAGAATTGTTCCTGCTGATTCATCTATTCCAGGGGCTGCAGCAAGGCCAGGGTACCTAAGAAGGGGGGTGAGGGAGAAAGGGGCAGAAATACGGGGATGCAGTAAGGCTGTCTGTCATCCATCACTCTGAGGCAGATTCTACATATGCCTCAACTCTAGGCTCCCCCATAGGCACACAGACAGCGCCCAAGCCTCCTGACCACTTCCCCCTCCCATGCCTGCCTCTCTCTATCTGCCACTCTGCCTGGGCCTTTTGGTGGCTGCTCAGGGGCTTACTTGGTAGAGGGCAAGGCTCAGTGCTCAGGTCTGACACCACCAGGGGCAACACCAGCCAGTGAGGGGTGAGAGTCTGTGGATAAATACTTCAGCTTCACATCTGTAGTGGGTTGAGTGGTGGTCCCTAAAATATATGTCCCCCATGAACCTTTGAAAGGAACATTATTTGGGAAAAGGGTCGTTGCAGACCTAATCAAGTTATGAATCTCAAGATGAGATCACCCTGGATTATCCAAATGGACCCTAAGTCCCATGACTAGTGTTTTTACAAAGACACACAAATAGGTGACATGAACATGGAGGCAAGACTGGAATGACGCATCTAGAAGCCAAGGAATGCCAAGGATTGTCAACAGTCTCCAGAAGCCAGGAGAGATGCAGGGAACAGATCCTCCTCAGAGCCTCCAGCAGGAAGCCACCCTCTGGACACCTGCACTTCAGACTGCCAGCCTCCAGAACCGTGAGGCGATACCTTTCTGTTGTTGAAGCCACCCATTTTGTGGTACTTTGTTACAGCAGCCCTAGGACACTTATAATACAGCAACCCTCAGTGGGATGATTCTGAGATGTATTCAAAACAGTTCCTAAAAAGATCCCCAGTGGGATTGAGCCCCATTTGGCCACAGGACCAACCAGTTCATTTATACCCCTTTATTGGCTCTCTTCTCTTCCCCGCTGCCTTATGGGGTTTCCTAGGATCATGTCCAAGTAAACCACCCTCACTCAAGTCCTTGTCTACTTTTGGAAGTGTCCAAACTAATGGCACATTGTTTCATACTCCTCATCCTTCATAATTCAACCCATCACCATTTGTAAGGGAGGAGGTACAGAGAATGGTTGTAGTAGACCAAAGAATTGGCCCCCAAAGGCGTCAACATCCTCATTCTTAGAATGTGCAAGTGCTATATTCTATGGCAGAAGGGACTCTGCATATGTGATAAAGTTAAGGATACTGAAATGGAGAGGTCATCCTGGCTCATCCAAGTGGGCCTCTGATGCAATCACAAGGGTCCTTCTAAGAGGGAGGCAGGATGTCAAAATGGTAGGAGGAGAAGATCACGTGACCATGGGAGCAGCGATTGGAGTAACGTGGCCATGAGCCAAGATATACAGACAGCCTCTAGAAGCTGGAGGGAGCGAGCCTCCAGAAGGAACCAGGTCTGCCAACACCTCCATAAGACTTATTGGACTTTCGGCCTCCAGAACTGTAAGATGATCAATTTGTGTTGTTTTACGCCATGAAATTTGTGGTGATTTGTTACAGCAGCAGAAGGAAACCACGCAGTAGTCAAGAATACAAGTGTTAGGATCGGGTAGCACCAGCTTGAAGTCTCAGTTCAGTGACTCATTGCTGTGGACCTTGGGCAAGTGACTGACCCTCTCCAAGCTTCAGTGTCCTCAGTTGTCAAATGTGGGTAATCATCGGCATACCTTCCTGACACTGCTGCTGCGTGGACTCCAGCAGGTGGTACAGGATCAGCTGGCATTCACGGCTGTGGTGGTGACTCATCGAACATTCACTATTAGGGAGTCACTGTGCTCCACCTGGAATACAAGGTCAAATAAGACAAAATGCAGGTCTACTCTTAAAGAGGTCACAGCCTAGAAGTGTGGGCTAAACAACTGATGTCTGTAGGCAAAGGATTACTGAGCCACTGCTCTAAATGGGACAAAGGCACTCCTTGGTACCTTAGACCCCAGCAGTTAGGGCCTCCGGACTGCAGCTCTTCCACACTCCCCGCTTGGTGCAAAAGCTCTCCACCGATAGTAGTCACAGTTGTAATGGTGGTGGTAATAGTAGCAGTAATGACTACCGCAGATGTCGCAGCTCTGACATCACCCATGTCCCAGCCCTTGGCCTCCCATCTCAAGAGCCCTCCCTTCTCAAGAGCCCTCCCTTGTTGTCCCAGAGTCACTCCAAATGGTGGCTACTTTGAGTTCCTCTACCCAATTCCAGTGTGTGTGGTGGGGAAGCTGCTCCTCCCACCCCAGCAAGCAATGCTCTGGACACCAGCAGCGAGTCCTACAATTCAACTCATTCCTGACACTATCTACCTGGAGATGGTATCGGATCCCACAGGTTAAGGGCTCAGTCACACAAGACTGTCCCCTCCACCCTTCACTTCAGATGCCAGTCACAAGCCCAGACTGTCACCTATACTTCCAACTGACTGGCTGTAAATGAGAATGTTAGGTAGAAAGACAGACATGAGCAGCCAGGGGAGGGGA